TCAGATCATTAAAAGTATCTGATATGGGTCAAACAGAGCACAAATGGTTGGGGGTCACATCACAGCTGGAAGCAGAGGGAATTGGAGTGAGATCTCCTCAGCTCAGCCAGAGAACCACAGCCAGGCAGTGTGATGGTGTGACTCCAGGAAAGGAGGAGTAGCTATGAACCAGACCTTGCCTCATTCCCCTGTGAATAGGTATTCACCTCTCCAGCAATGGCTGGACCCACATCACAGGCTGCACTGCACCCAGCTGGAGCAGGGAGGAATATAGACTACATCAAGGTCAGGTGACAGATGAGTTTATAACCTGAGCAAGAAGCTTGGGAGCAGGAAATCCCACTTAGCATGTCCAGCTCCTCGTCTATTGCACACTCCTCAGTCTGTGCCAGCCTTCTGCCCTCTCCCAGTCCCCAGGTACCAGCAAACTCCAAAGCACGCACCGTCTGCCACCCAGCATCTCCTGTCATGTCACGCACACATGTAACAGCAGATCCTCACTGTGGGAGGAGAGATGTGACATCAGAGGACATGGGAGCCAGGACCTGCATGCATACTGCTGCTGGCTGCCAGGAAGGGCACTCATTTTCTAATTCCCAGGTGCACAGAGCAGAACTATCAACTGCCAGGCCTCCATCCGCCAAATGGATGCCAAGGGCTAAGCATGCATGACTCTCTGGAGCAAAGAATGTCCACTGACATCCACCCTGACTCAGGAACTGGCTTAGTGTCGGTGACAATTTTCCACTGACTTTATGCGAGGGGAAAGGCTGGGCAATGCCATCATTCACCAACCTGGATGTTCTCTGCCTATTTTCTTTCCTTCCAGGCATGTTTCCTGCTCTGAAAACACAAGCAAGAGATAAGGTAGACTGGCTCTGTGCTGAAATACTTAACTGTGGCATGAGCTGTCTGTATTTCCAGGACAGAAATGATACACAACAAGTGTGCAGACAGGATGATGCCTGCACTGGGATTTCAGTTCAGCTTATGTTTCCCATCATCAGCAACACAAACATCAGACAAAGGACTTCAGCTCTGGACGCTGCTTTAGGAAAGATGCCAGACAGAGGAGAATTCAGTGGAGAGTGGTATGGACAAGTGATCAAAGATGTGTGACCAGTAAGAAATCCTAAGAGCTTCAGGGCAGAGGTGATGGAGGGGCAGTCATGGGATGTCATGAGACAGTAGGCTTCAAACAGAAAAGGTTGCTACAAAGAGGATATAAATTCTCTGCTTTCAAAGTCTAGGGGAGACAGAGTGTCAAAAAACAGGTGTTTTAACTGCATGAGAGAAGTCTCCAATTAGGAAGAAGCAAATTTTTTTAACAGTCACAGGAGAGGGAGATGGGAAGGCATGGATCTCCATCAGCAGTGTTTCCCAGGCAGAAACAATAAAAGCCTAGCAACGATGGCAGAGCTATGGCTGACCCTGATTTGGGCAGGAGACAGGCTCACAGAATTGGAACAGAAAAATCACACAGTATTGTGATTTCACATGCAGTAGCACTAACTCCGTCAGCAGGGCACCCAGTATCTCCAATTTAAGCAATTTTCAGTTGCAATACTTAGTATCACAATTCCAATTCTTAACATCCAGGGCAAAATAGCTGAATCAGTTACAGCTACTGCAGAACAATCTACTGCACTATGGTACCAAGAGCCATGCTGCAAGCCAAGCTGTTTAGCAGTGGTCATCATTGCTGCCATTAAGAGGTCAGAGTAGCTCCTTTTGAATGTTCAGGGTCACTGTTAAAGTGGTATAGTTGTAGAGTTTAAAAGGTAAAGTTTAATTTGAGCTCATTTGTTTGATGCTGCATTTGAGCTGTTACCTTCCCTACTGCCTCAAGCAGGCCCTGTTTCCCTGAGATTAACCTCAACAACTGTACGGGACTACAAAAAGGACACGTAGAGGGAAGAGAGCATCCCATCCAGATGCAGACCTGAATATGATGTTAATTAAAAGGGGTGGGACCTTCAGAAGCAGAGATCACATGACATCATGGAAAAGGAAGGAAACCGAGGCACAAAAGCATTCAAAGCGACACAAAACAGCATCTGGAGAACTCACAGAAGTTGAACAAGTCCAGTTGGCAGACGAAACTTCTCCTCTTGGCTAGGACATGTGGAGCTCCTTCAGGGAAGGTGTCTGAGCTCTATGGCTACAGAAAGTTTTTCAAGCTAACCAGGCTGGAAATCACCTCCCTCTTTGCAGGGGGCTGGCTCTCCGTGCCCAGAGCTGCCCCAAGGCCATCCCAACATCCATCTCTTGTGTGACCATGCTCCAGACATGAACCAAGCCCCTCTCTCCACCTTCATGCACAGCACGTCCGGGGGCCTCACAGCAGCCAGCGTGCATCCACCCAAAATGCATCCATTGAGACACAAGTTCTTGGCCCCTTCTGTCCCCACGGCAACACATATTAACATTTCACTGACTCAAGGCTGTAGAAAGGAGGCTTGCTGCTTACTCCAGTGATACAAACAGGCATCCTACTCCACCACCTGTAAGACCACCTTTATTCAAAGACTTTTTTACAAGCTTCATCCAAACTAAGCCTGTGCAACCACAAGATCACTGCCTGTAAAGCCTCAAATGAGATGAAGGGTCTCTCACAAGACTGTATTACAATCCTATTATGGAAGCAGGGCATATAAAGACAGCATGGATTGCAGAAGCAGCATTCAATTCAGCCAGTGCAGAATTTCTAGGCTGAGTAACAGCCTGTAAGGTCTAACAGAAAGCTCTACAGCTCTGCCTGCCTTCAGGGAAGGGGAGAACAGACTGCCTGTCTCTACCCCTGATCTCAGGACAACTGCAGTGATCAAAGGACATCCAGAGCTCTTCTGGAGACCAGAATCTGGCACAGCATCTCCTGAGGGAACAGACTTGCATCCTCTCCCCATCCAAACACACACAGAGATGCTCACACTCCTCAGAATACCCCATGACTGGGCTGAGAGCTGTCCAGTTCATCATGTGCAATGTGGATGGTACATGCCCCTTGCCAAATAATTGTTCTCTTCTTGCACTGCTCACCTCTGAGAAGGGTACAAATAAATGCCAATTAATTATTAATGGTTATGTTTGCTTCACGCTCCCCCAGTTTTGCACAATAAATCTTCTTTCTCCTTGGGACCAGTGTTCCATGTGGCCTGTGTTGCACTCCTGCGTGGAAGTTGCCCTGGCACTGGGAGAGACGGGATGAAATCCAGTCGTGCTTCTGGAGACCTCACCCTAGTGAGGGGGAAAGCACCTAACATGACAATCTTCCAAAACGCTTTTAAATATTGTTTTCTACTGTTCATAGGCAAGTTTCCAAACCCTGCCTATACCTCACCTGCCACTCTGGAAAGCACTTCAGATGTTCAGGTGATCCAGTCTGGCAAGTTGGACTCTCTTCCTCCTCTGTCCTTATTGACAGGGAATCAAGAGAATTTACAGTTCTGAAGGACTTTTCTGAGGTCCCAATCTCTTTGAAGTTAGTGATAATTTGAAAAGCAGTGGAACTGACAGAAAAAAATAAATTTATGCCTCATTCCCTCTCTTGCACGGAGGGTCAGAAAGACATAAAAAGGGAGAAAGGAAGGAATGCAAATGCTAATAAGGGGGATTTTGAAAGTTACAATGAACATTTCAATCTGAAATGTCATGAAAACTTTTAAGTTCCCTTTCCATTTTCTCTTTTAGAATGTTAAAATTGTACTGCATAGGTAATGCCTTTTCCCTTTCAACCTCATCATTTTTAGGTGATGTTTCTGTAGGCAAAAAGCCCATAGGGCAGCCTTGCTAGTCTCTTGAAAGCACTGTTTGCAAGTATCCAAGGAGAGTGACACAAGAGATTCAAACTTCCAACTCCACACAAATAAGCAGGCTGACACTAGCACAAGGATACACAACTAGAAGGCTCCAGAGAAGACATGTATCCTCTTCTCAGTTCTCTATCAGCAGTCCATGAAATAAAATCTTTACATGCACTCACCTTCAAGTAATAAAATCAAACAAAAGCAAGAATCACTGGCCTTCCCAAAATCCACCTAGGTCCATAATTTTCTCTGGCCCCTTCTCTCCTACTGTCTTCAACTCATTTTCATTCATCTTATCCTTCTCCTCTCCTGCTAAATCCTCGCTCCTCCCCTCCCTGTCCTTTTCTTGTGCACAGCTGATCCTCTCAAAATTCACCCCTCCCCATCCAAAAATTAATAATGTAACTTGCTGCCAAAAGACAGGAAGAGTCACTCTGGGAGACTCAAAAAGCCCTTTCAGCTATCTTGTCTCTTCCAGTGGCAATTAGATAATGCTTAGAGCCAAATGATGGGAGCAAGATGTACATAAAGTCAGCTTCAATGCTGCCCTACACGGAACACCAAGCCACACATGGGAAATAGGGACATTCCCATTCCCAGTATGCCAGGACTTGTAGAAAGGAAGCAGCTAAATACATTATTTTAAATAAGGTGATTAATAGATCATTGAATACTGATGGGTTTCTGCCTGAGAGCCAGCTACATGTACTGTAAATTTCATTACATTACTCCATGCTGAGCAGACTGTACAAGATTGCTCCATGAAAAGCACTTCAGCTCTCCTCACTCTGCTGTGCCCACAACAAATTTATGTTGAAGAAGGGAAACATCTGCTACCTGCTCCCAAACCAGGCTTGTGCAATATCCACACAGGCACAAGGTCTTCGTTTCAATGTCTCCACTTTAAAGAGACGGTTGGCTCCTCTTCTGATCAGGGAGAGGCGTGTGTTTCTTGCTGCATCTTGCTTCTTGCTGAATCTCAGCAGAGGAACAGCTGTGGAGCAGGCTGCTCTAAAACTTTCTGCTCTCACCGAGCCAGCACCAGGGCACAGCTGGGAAGCAGTGCAGTACAGACATCAGGTCAGCAAGGTCAGTATTTCTTACACCTCCTGCAGGAGACGACTGTCACCTGGATGTGATACACTAGCAAGACTCACATACAAGCACTTTCACTGGGAAACAGCTGCCCACAGCAGTTCACTAACCAACTGAGCCATACACTAAAATTGGAACAATACAGGGAAGATTAGCATGATCCCTGCATAAGGATGACAAGTTCATGAAGCGTTCCATATTTTCTTCAAGAAAGACATGGACCTGTTGGAGTGGGTCCAGAGGAGGGACATGAGGATGACCAGAGGGCTGGAGCACCTCTCCTATGAGGACAGGATGAGAGAGTTGGGGTTGTTCAGCCTGGAGAAGGAAAGGCTCCAGGGAGCAGCCTTTCAGTACTTAAAGGGGGCTTATAAGAAGATGGGGACAGACTTTTTAGCAGGGCCTGTAGTTATAGGAAAAGGGGTAATTTTTTAAACTAAAAGAGGGTGGATTCAGACTAGATATATAGAAGACATTTTTTACAGTGAGGGCTGTGAAACAGTGGAACAGGTTTCCCGGAGAGGTGATAGAAGCCCCACACCTGGAAACATTCAAGGTCAGGCTGGATGAGGCTCTGAGCAGCCCGATCTAGTGGAAGCCTGCTCACGGCAGGGGAGCTTTGGACTAGGATGACCTTTAGCAGACCCTTCCAACCCAAACCATCCTATGATTCTATGACTAAGTCCCAGGTCTATCCAGCTAAACTGGCATGATTTCGTCAAAGACAAATACATCCCATCATTATATTTATTCTGAATAATGCTACTAATGCTTCTCCCACAGGGCAAAGATCTCTCTCCCTGAGATATGGTACTGCAGGGCACGTGCTCCAATACACCCTGCCCCTGCAGTTAAACAAGAACATTCAAAGTGACAGCCATTGAAAAAACAGTGTGCAGGGGAACTCCTCATTTCCAGATGGCTTTAAAACTCTCAATCTCACACTACTCCACATACATTTCTCACTCTTTCTTCGTGTCTCATGCAGAGAAATGGCTGCTGGCTGCAGCCCTGATAGGAGCAGAATGATCACAAAGCAAGCATACAGTGAGAAAGTTCTCTGCTTGTTGTGCTAGTCTGCAGGTGCCACTTCCTAGCTACGACAACCACTGCTGGGCTTCAATTTCCCATCCTGTTATGTCCTTCTTTGACATCAGCTTTCATAGCAATGAAGAGAGCTTCACTGGAAACAGCAGAGGAGGCAAACATGTCCCTCTTGCTAAATTAAGTATTGTAATAAGGTACAGTTTTCTGCAAGTAGCATGTACTCATCCCAGGAGGGGAAGATAGGGCGGACTCTCATAAGAGAGAGAAGCATAAGCTAACATGGACCAGACTCAGGCACGAGCAGTCAGCCCCTTGGAGGATGGTCTGATCCAGCCATCATGCATTCTATCCCACACAAATATTATTCCCAGGTCATTTCCCCACAGCAGCCAGCTCCTCACACCCTTCCCACCCTCCTCTTTCCCCTTTCATCAGAGGCAGCAGTAAGGGACAGTTCTATCACAGATGTTAGTGAACAATCCTCTGGCTCAGAACAAGGCTACCCCTAGCAACAACACATTAGTAGGGCTGCAGCCTCTCCAGCTCTGCCTTGCAAACCCCCAGGAGGGAGACCCCCTCACTCACATGGTGCCCTGCACCACCTTCTTCAAATTGACCTACCTCTGGAGACTTCTGCTTGGGGCTCTTCATGCAGAAGACAGAACCAGCACAGCAGGGAGTACTTTCAGAGACACCTGCTCCCAGAGAGGACTTGCTAGCAGCCTGGGGGAAGCCTGGTGGGTTGGGCTTGTAAGTCTCTTAATGACTGAGTCATTAATGATACAGGTGTGCTCATAAACACCAAGTCCTATGCACCACAAGGCAGATTTTTAGCCTGGTTTGTAGCCTGCAAAGAAACTAGAGGAGACCCCTCAAAACATCAAGGGAATTACTGTGCTGTCAAGATTGTTTCAAGACCAGGTGGGGCTTTGCCAAGCAACCCCTTTGCTAGATTGGTTTGGGACCATCCTCATCTTATCCTATTAGCAGTTCTTGCTTCCCTATAATGAAGGTCTCTATCACAAAGGCAAATACTCCTCTCTCTTGTCCTTTCCCACTCAGTGACACCTCATTTGTAACTAGCTCTTCCCAAGAGAATGTACCTCAATAAATCAAAGCCAAACCCTCATACAGCCATCCAAACCTTGTTTTGAAAGGGTCATGCTGTCCTTTCTCATTTTAAGTATTCCTTGTCTTGGGGTGTGAAAGGTTTTGGGTAAAGCTATATGAAATACACAGCTGTCACTATGGAGGAAATATTGCTAAGAACTGATAATGTAGGTGAATGTTTAACAGGTTATCACCAACAGCAGGCAGGGGTACTGCACGGGCCATCTTCAGTCCTCTAGTACCTAGAAGGCTGTTTACTGGCACACCAGGAAGATGCAGGTGTCATAACAGATCTCCAGCATTTCATCTCCTTTCTTAAAGGAAATTTAGCCTTTTTTTTTTTTTTTTTTTTTTGCTCAGCGAAGGTAGAAAGCCCAAACATTAACTGCAGCTCTCTTTTGGCTCGGGAAGTTCCAAGCACAAATGAGGAAGCTTGTTGCAAAAGAGTGAAAGAAACAGCAGCTAAAATAGTTAAGTCCTTGCAGGTGGCATGGAAATATTCAAAAGCATGGGAGCAAAAGAGATTAAAGTTGCAGCCAAATGGAGAAAATAAAAAGGGGCTCATAAGTTTAGGCAGATGTAAAATTTAAAAAGCATAACTAAGGGGATGCCAAACAATTTCTAAATGGCACAAAAGCTACTAAATTATTTCTCAGGCATGAGCGCAGCAGGAGTTTCAAGGTTCACCTCCTCCAAGTTCGTAATAGTACATCCCAAAATGCAAGAAAACAAGCAAAGGCAGTATGAGACCTGCATGGATGAACCAGGCAATCCTCATAAAACTCAGCCATAAAAAGGATACACACAGGTGGTGGAAGCAGGGACAAGTGTCCTGGGAGGAATATGAAAACACTGTCCAAAAATGCAGAGCTGGGCTTAGGAAAGCTAAAGCCCACCTGGAGTTGAATCTGGTAAGGGACGTGAAGGGTAGTAAGAAAGGTTTCTACAGGTAACATCATCAGCAAAAGGACAACTAGGGAAAATGCAGGCTTGCTGAGGAACAGGAATGGGGACTTGGTGGGAAAGGACAACAGTGAGGCTCAGTCTTTACTGCTAAGACCAGCCTTCAGGTATTCTGGGACCCTGAGATCTGTGGAAAGTCCAAGGCAAGGAAGACATACCCTTGCTGGAGAAGGGTCAGGTCAGGGAACATTACTGCCTCTTTTCTGCAGAACTGCACTGGGTCTGACAACACTGCATCATCTGAAGACCTGAACCTCTCACTACTGAACTGCGTCCTGATTTTCCCAAGCCATTGCTTCAGCTCATCAAGGCAATTTCAAAACAGAGCCATGTCCTTCTTCACAATTCCTGCTCCTTCTGGTTTCCTGTGTACTACCTATTCCTTTGTCCTAATTACTAACAAAAATACCAAACAGGATCAGAGGCCAGGAAGAACCCTGAAAAAGTTTTCTCACTAAATCCTCACATTTTGACAATTAACTGTCCCATAAGCTCTCCTGTATAGTTCCCTCACCAGATTTACACATACCTTACTGTAGACAGGTGTATCTAGTGCATATTCCATTATCTTAATTGTGTAGAACAGCGATGAACATTTTCTGAAGTCACGATAAATTATATCTACTGCTTCTCCTCATCCACCAGTCTCACCACCCATTCCAAGAGGAAATAAGAGTGTGCTTACATGACTAGTTTTGCCATGCTCGTTCTACCTCCTCCATCTCATTATTTCCAGGACACTCCCATGTGTTCCACTTTTTCTTGTTGTTCTGATATTCTTATTGAAAGGCTCAAGTTTCCCTCTGTCTAGAACTCAGGAATCTCCTCCATCCTCTGCAGAGTCCTCAAAGACAACCTGCTAATTGCTCTGAGTTAATTTTGGACAGTTCTTCATGTGTCCTGCACTCTGCACTGACTGGGGTTCCCACACATCTGCCATCAGCACTGCCGGACCTCACCTGCCCCACTGTAGCCCAAATTACCACTCATCCCTTCTTGCTGTTGCAGAGTTTAGCCAGGTTTATAGACTCACAGAATCATCAAGGTTGGAAAAGACCTCTAAGATCATCAAGTCCAACCATCAACCCACCACCACCATGCCCACTAAACCATGTCCCTAAGTGCCCTATCTAGTCATCTTTTAAATACCTCCAGGGATGGTCACTCAATCATTGGGAGGGTCTCTGCATTTGTCCCTCCAAGAAGCCAATACTGTTGGACGCTGTGAGCCCTGCCAGCCAGGACTGTGCTGCTGGGGTGATCACAGGGCATGCCAAGCCTGCTAGGTGGCAACTCACTGGCTAAGCAACCAGTACCCCAGTACCCACTGGAGTCCAGAGACTGGACTGCATGCTGGACAGAAAACTGCTACGTGTTCATAACAGCCTACCAGGGTTGCAAGTTCTTTGGGAGCTCCAAGCTTTTGTTCTCACTGGGCTTCAGAAACAGGTTTTTCCAATACACAAGACTGAGCTCCAGGTCCAGCATATCAAATATCTGTATTGTCAGCAGGTCACTCACAGAAAGTCTTATCTGCAGCAGGAGGAGAGTTCCTGTCCCACCTTTGACTGGAGACTGGGAGCAACAGCCAGGAGTCCAAATTCAAAATGAGTGAGCCAGAATGTCTCATGTCACAGCACACCTTCTCAAGCTTCACAGAGTCTTGCTGCTCCTGCTGTGGAAAGTCAGACCTGCTGTGCTGTGCATCCAGGCAGCTCTCTGCAGAACAAGCCATCTCACAGCCCTGCCTGCACTGGGTTTTGCTCCGCATACCAACAAATGCCCCTGTGCAGACATGCTTGTCTACAGGCAAGATGGGGATAAAGAGCATCTTCACCTTTTCCCAGGTGAGAAGTACAACTTTTGGATTAGTTTCTGCAAGCCAAGATGGACCAACAACACTGGTGTGATTGTATTAATATAATTACAGGCTTTAGCTTCTACTGAAAAAGTATTCCCAAATAAACAGGCCTGGAAAGCCCAGTGGTAGTAACAGGATAAATAAAGGTGTCTGTGCTTTGCTCTACATGGAAAGCAACAGCTCTAGAAATCCGGAGAGCAATCACAGCTCATACTTTACAGCT